TCTAAAGAATGACTGCCAAAGGCATAAAAATTCCAAAAAAGAAATGATGATAAGCAATGTTACAGATAACTGGAGGAGACATTCTCTTAGAGTGCCAATAATGGGTGGAGCAGTAATCAAAATGCTTTAGACAAAGGGCAACAGCAATCATATGTAAAAATAATAATAACTAAAAAAGAGGATATCAGCAAGATATCTACAGAGCTAGGATTAGGAAAAGAAGGCATCTTAGAGGATGTACTTAGGTATCAGCAGGAAATTTACAAGGACCTGGAGGAAGTCTAATTAGGATGCTCATGAGAATTAAAGAGCTTGGGGAGAGGGAGGAGAAAACTACATTGCGGACGGAGCAGGACACTTACTTCCATCTCTGAGCGGCATCTTGTCGCCTGTGGGGAGGGATGGGTATTAGACACTTGCTGGCCTCTTCTGGTGGGAACTAACCTGCTCAGCCACATCACCTCAGTGAATACTGACTTATCTGTATGCAGTATGTATGCTCATGACATTATACAAGGTTTCCTAGTCAATGAAATTTTCTTTGGAAAAACACTGCAACTTTGTTTTCAAAGATGTTCGCATTACATTATAATTAGTGCAGATTAATGATTTTTGTCTCCTGATGCTTTATTCCGTAAGCTCTCTTTGGATGGTGAATTAGACCTGACATTGCAGAGAGAAGTTTTAACTACGACGTGCTAGTTGAGGAGCCTGGCACTAAGTGCCACCCCACTGGTGCTCTACAGGGCACTGTCCCGGACACTCCCGGCTACTGGACCATCACCACCACCTGGCTGGTTGCTGGAAAGGGTACCACCCACCTCATGCCTACAATGCTCATGCAGTCCAGTGCTGCCTTGTCTTACCTCACCCTTTGATGGTCTGGGTTAAGTAGGTCAGCTGCACTACACAAGGAGTGGAGGCTGAGGGTGGATGAGCGGAGGAGGTGGTTATAGGGTAGGTGAGGATGTAGTTAGGATATGTCCTCTCCTGAGGGTCACTCTCCCCCATCCCCTTCAAGCACTAGCAGCAGGGGTTGGTCTGGCCCCCAACTAGCCCTGCCTACGCTACACTGATGGCCAGCACCCAGGCACACCAGCACACAGAACACAGTGAACAGTATCATATCAGACCTGCATACTCTGGTGTATCTCACAGTGCAAAAAATACACAGTTAAATGTAATAAGAGTACTCTTCTGTTTTACGCAAACCAACAATAATGACAGCTCATATAGGAGCATCTGAGGCACTCACAAGGACAGTCAAGTTTACACACAACGTCAAGGAGTGATCTGTAAGGACTGTGGTTCTACATTTCCTACTTTCAGTAACCAAGACTTTGTACCTCCCTACGAGGAAGCGCGGGTGGGCGGGCGGCAGCTGGAGGGCCTAATTCCCCCGGGCTGAGGGCAGGGTGACACCCAGAAGTCCTATCCACTGCCCACCACCACCACCCATCCACCTGTCGCTCGCCCTCCTCCACTACCAAGTAACACTAATTTAAATGCTAAAGTTGCAAAACAAACACAGGCTAGAGCCCCCTAGGTGCAATGTTTATTGATATGGTTCTTGCAAGAAAACCATGATATGGTTACTTTTCTTTGATTTTTTTGTATTCTAAACAGAAATATACTGCATTTACTATTAGAACTTAACTAGTAACATATAACTCTCTAAAAGCAACAACATAAATGTTTCAGCTAATATAATCTAAAAACTGTTTGTATTACATATCACTATATCTAGTATCATGAAATCTCTTTATTCTGAAATGTTATCTCCAACACTTATTTCATACTTTCATATATAATAATAGCTGTGAGAAAACATAACAAACAAACAAAGAAATATACATAACACATATGCAGGCAGACAATTTACTCTACAATCAAAACTGAAATATAAGTTCCAGTAAAGAAATAAACACTGCACCTCTGGGGTCTGGCATCATACTCTCGCTTGCCCAAGATACTAATACAGAACATGACATGGCTACAAGATATATATATATTTTTTTTTACTTAGACTAGATTTGATTAAGAAAAGTAGCATTGTACTCAATTTCAAGTACTAATTACTGTTACCTACTTTTAAATGCTCTCAGAAGACTCGCAAGGAATAATAAAAAATGCTGAAGAATAAGAGAGTGGGAGATGGTGAAAAGAAATGGTGAAAAGTATGGTGAAAGAAGCAACTATGGTACCTCTGGAGTTGTTAAGCAGACGCTTGGGTAGTTCGGGAGGGGTGTAAGTAACTTGGTAGAGTTCTGATTCAATATCTGACTTATCTGAAACAAACACACCGAAAAAACACGCGTAACTAACAGCCACACAGTAGTCAAAACCCCACCTAAAAAAAAAAAAAAGAAAGAAAAAAAAAAAAAAAATCCAGAAATGATGACCAAGAAATAAATAAATGATAATAATGATAATGATAATGACAATAATAACAACAACAATAATAATAATAGTAATCATAATAATGATAATAATAAATAAATAAATAAATAAATAAGAAATAGAATGCCAATGGATTTTCTCTTTTTTCTTTTTTTTGGGGGGGAGGGATTGCTGGAAAGGGATCCTGTTAGGTGACAGATGATCTATGAGGTGCTTCTGGACAAAGGCTTTTTTAACAATTTTTCTCTAAATTCTAATCCTTAGTAGGATTAACATGGTAATTTCATCCATACAATGAACAACAATTCATGGAAAAAAATGATATCAGGTTATTCTGCATCTACCTCATAGACACTTGAGGACTGTGAAGGGGTTTATCATGAGGACAGAAAGTGGAACAGGGTTAGACAGATTCCAGGAGTAATGAAGCAAGAAATAGCAAGAGAAGAGGTAGGTCACCACTTGAGAAATGAAGTCTTGCACATATGGCAAACTCACAGCAAAGAGGGACAATGACTGTCATTATAAATGGCACAATGTCATATGTATTCCAGAATCCTACCTTTCATTATTTTTGTACTGTTAATCACTTTAAGGCAAATGATATCAGTTTCATTAGATTAGTGCATTAGTGGCTAAAGGGTGTAATCAGACAGTTATTTAGTTTTAGAAATGAAAACAAAGTGAAATAATTCTAAAGATAATTTGACAGCAAATGTCGCAGTATACAGCAATGGAATGAGCACATCTCACAAAACTATAATTCATTTACACCCATGTGAACTCCTACATTCTTTCATCATAACTCCTGGACATTATAGTAAAGAATGAGGTATCAAGCTACTTAAAACCCACTCATCTCTAGACTTACTAAAAACCTTTCCTGTTGCTCGCAAAGGTTGAGGACAGACAAAGAACGTTGGCTGGCATTATACACATAGCTGGCCAGCTGGTAACAAAATGTTTCCTTTACTACACGGTGGACAAAGTTCTCTACAGATACATTCACAAAATCTTCGTCGACATCAGAAATGTGATTTAGTGTGGGTACTGGAACACTGTCACAACCCACTAAACTAAGAAAAAGTATGTTCACTTTACCAGAAAACTGTACAAAAAAATCACACGTAATGTGACACATTTATTTGCTACAAAATTATTTACCACTTTCAACTATGATCTGAAGAGAGATCTAATAAGAAAATGCCTCTCTTTTGCTTACCAAAGACTGACTAAAACTGAGACAAAGAATACTATCAGAAAGTTAAAGGCAACAGAAACATTTGTACATAAAGAATAAACTAGCATGACAACTAAAATATAAAAAAGGTAATTAGGAATAGTAAATAACTATAAAAACTTTGGACAATACTATAAGAATAATTGAGGAAGATGTAGACCGGAGAGATATTGTAGGAAATACAATGGATGAGGAAACTATGGATCCCTGGGGCACTACCCTTAGACGGCTGAGGGATACAGATAGGAAGTTGAAATATGTTGTCAGAGGTTATTGGATTGATGTCTCCTAATGTGAAAACTGCCTTTTCTTGACAGCACACATTCAATGTAGTCTTGATGTGTTTTTCTTATCTATAATGTAATTTTTCTAATACTTGTATAACTTTAACCTTGTACTTTAATTGTATACTCTGTATTTACCGACAAGTGATCAAACATCATTCTTAGCTGTAAAATTACAAAATGAAGTAGCAAAAATCCTTTTCACTAGTCTGTCTATATCATCCAATAAAAAGTGAAAGTGTACAGACAAAATTACTGAATAAGTTAAAGGGTTTAATAACATTTTGCTTGTAACATCTACCAATCTTGGTATCTACTGAGAATAACAATTCATTTACTTTAATGTACAAAAAAAAAAAAAGAAAAAAAAAAAAAAAAGAAAAAAGTAATGAGAGTACATTAGATGCTTTTATCTTTTCATCTTTATATATGTAAATGCATGTATAAATCTTTTCTAAAAGAGGCAGTATTCCTAGTTGCTTTCAGCCAAAACATCTGTGTGTGTGTGTGTGTGTGTGTGTGTGTGTGTGTGTGTGTGTGTGTGTGTGTATGTGTGTGTGTGTGTGTGTGTGTGTGTGTGTGTGTGTGTGTGTGTGTGTGTGTGTGTGTGTGTGTGTGTGTGTGTGTGTGTGTGTGTGTGTGTGAGTGTGTGTGTGTGTGTGTGTGTGTTTGTGTGTACATATATGTGAATGTTTATTTATGTACATATTCTTCTCATGTCTCCCTCAGCCGTTGTGCCCATATCCTGATCTCATGCACGCCCGCATGGCTACAGTGTGGTCTGCTGCTACGATCTCCAAGAATTGCTAGATATGCATCGCTTGGTCCTTATGATGGTGGGCTGGCACTTCCGACACTGTGCCAAGCTCAAAGCGCCCTACAATGACTCATCCCACCACCATCTAATTGAGCTGCTTGGAGTTCTGCATGGAAGTGACTTGTTTTAGTCACTGTGCATCTCATTTGTGAAATTTTCAATTGTGATGCACACTGTTTAAACACAGTCAATTAACTGATCCATAATGAACATCCACTGTTTGCTTTAGGACCACTAGGTTTCTAATGAATATATTGATCAACTGGATACCATTCTCTTCATGCGGCTGTTGTGCAAATCAACAACAGCATCTTGCCTATAGAACCAAAAAAGTGTACACTTCAAAAAAGTTGTACTTCTGCTGCAGACTTACTTGGTACAAAGGTAACCTCTCCACCTTTATGAACACAAGAGGGACAGAGAGAGGGGGTGAAGGTTAGTAGAAGGTAAGGAAGAAGAAACTGCTTTTTCTTTTAACTCATCTTTTATACTCGTATTTCTTTAACATATACTCGATGGCTGTGCTAATTTTCTTTGCCGCCTATTTTTTGTTCCTTACTTTATGGCTGAAAGTCATTTATCAAACACTGATATCTGTGTTGTAATTTTTAAATTGTTAACAAAAAGGTATATATGTATAACATTCGGCTGGTGTCACTTTAGGCCATATTCAAGACGAGTATCAAATTGATTTAAAGCGCTTTACTTCTTAATGAACTGCGTGTTAGGATTAGTGAGCGGACTGTGGGAAAGGTCTGGCTTGTTTATCTCAATGTGAAACATGCAGAAAGTAACTCACCAGGTTCAGGGATTTCTCATAACATGTGTCTAGTTCAAAATTCTTTTCCTATTAGTTTACTGCCCCCTCCTGCTTATTCCTAGCTTTTCAATGATCAAGATAAGATCACAGATTTTTCTTATTTTTCACTTTTATTTCTAATCTCAAGACAAAACAAAAATATCATACTAGTACAACTATCTCTTTCCAAGGTAGCAATATCAGTTGTATTTTCATTCGATTATTATTATCATTTTCTTAGTTCTCTGGGTAGGATCCCGCGAGTTGAGCTCCCTGAAGCTTGTGGATTACAGTACACCACGGGTATGGATAATCATATATATAAAAAAAGAATATATATATTATATATATATATGAATATATATATAAGCATGCAACATGCGTATCACACGGCCATCACCACCACTGTTGCGGGGATGTTACCTACTTGTTCGGCCTACCAATTGGACAGCGCGGACTCCTTTCCTGAATAATGCCACTAAAGAAGAGATATGAGTTAGTGCGGGAGGCAGAAAACACATGCATCACCGCCCACAGATAATAAAAAAATAAAAAAATAAAAATAAATAAATAAATAAAGAAAAAAAAATTGGTTTCAAACCTTTCTTCACTTGCCTCTGCCTCTCTCACTTTCTATACTGAAGAAAAAAGGGGGGATCTGAAGGGGTGATTACTCATGGGGAATTTTATTTATTGTAGTTAAGTTAAGGGGGGTTTGAAGAGGGGAATTTTCCTCCTCTTAGCAGGGGTGTTTTTCTCGTTAAGTAATACTCTCAGGGTTATCCTCCACACCATCACATTGGATATAGAGAAAATGCCAGACCAATACTGCATTTTGGTAAACTTACTGCCACCCTCACATCTTACCATTTTCCACTACCGGTTCTTAGTAATGTGATTCATAAAATGTATTTGTCAGACATAACACTGTACTTATTGTGGACTTCTACTCTCTATTGAAGTAAACAAATCATGTAAGACCTCATGGTAGTACGTGCCACTTGATCCAAATGCATACATTTGAGGCAACAGGCAGCACTTTAATGGGTAATACCTTTTCAGTTTTCCTACAACTACTGAGATGCCTATTGACCTATTAGTGTCATAGCCTCCATCTCTGGAACCATAATTAGTACCTGCTACAATGTAAATGGTATGTAATGAACTTCCACACATTGCCTGTTGTTTTCAGTAAAACATTGCACAGAAGAAAATATGGATTTGAATGTCCTTACAACAAAAATAATAACTCTGAGCCATAAAAAAGCTTAGTAATTGTATCAGTTTACGATATTCTACATGCACAAAAAGTGACCCTCATCAGGACTGTATTCTTATATGAACAGAGCTAATGTTGTACACATCAAGGTAAATGTCATCCTTCATTCAATATATAAACTATTCCTGTGGCCACAAGACATTAGGTGGAATATGATATACCACTTCCTGCATCCTTAAGCAGCATTCCCTGGGTCCCACACAAGAAAACTCTTGAAGATTTACAAAGGACCAACAAGGGCCTTCATTTATCAATTCCTGAAACTACAGGTGATACTCATCAGAAGGGAAAGCAGCATCCTAAAAAAGCTTGATCTCCAGTGAATGACACAACCCACCCTGATGCTACACCACTTCCCTGGGAGACCTGTAACCCTGAAAGTCCTACTTTACGGTAGTGGCGGTGATGGAGGCAGAGGGGTAACCTAGCCCACATGCCCACCTGCCCCACCCACGGCCTGCCCATACCAAACCGCTCCACCATGCCCATGACTAAAACACCATTATTAAATTCACTTAGCAATGCATAAGGTGAATGTAATGATAGTGTCATGGGCTGAGGGACTTGTGTATTTTCTAATGTTTCAATAATTATGGGTGCTGATGTCTACTTCCAAGTATACTTGATAATTACAACACTGATCTAATCAAATTCTGATGCTGGTTAAGTAGTGAAATTCAAAAATGTCATAACTGCCATGAAAAAGGTCTGTAGTATCTATCTTAGGAATACTAATGTCTGCAGTAATGATGATAAGGTGTGAGAAACTGAACAAATTAAAATATTATTTTACTTGAAGTTGATATTATGCAGTTTTAACCAGGTAAACATGTCTGTGGGCTGTAGTGTTAGTGGTAAGGGTAGCATACAGGAGATGTGTTAGTGTGGTCATCAGCTGGCTGTTGGAAGGGACACAGTATGGCCGGGGGTGGGGGTCGGGGCACGATGGGTAGTGTGGGGGGCAGGGGCAGGGGGGTTCTTACCCATATATGACTGCCCCTCAGCAAGACTTACAGTTTTCCCCTTAACAGCTCAGCCATCAACCGGAGTTCCGGGTTAGGCATCCTTGTCACCTGAATGATAAAGTCAAAATTACATGCATGGGAGCAAGCCAAAGGAAAATTTGGTAGCAATGTTGCCGTGCACAACTGGTTGACCAAGACCTGGTATTCCCCTCTACAAGATGGAGGTTGGGGGAAGAAACCCCCACCAGGATCTTGCTGAGAGGCACATTCGAAACAGATTAGTTCAAAGTGACCAGACCAGAGACTTGAAACCTTATGTATTGTCTCAATAAAGCTCATTCTCCTATTAACAAGAAGTGGACAATGGGCCATACTGGATCATTAGCTAAGGCTTGACATCAGCGGTCACGTCGTTTACTCAGTATTCATGCAGAGCCCGTGGTGGAGGAGGGATCTATGTCTGCCGCAACATGGATAACCCTGGCAAGAAGGCTAATCTTTACACCACTAGTGAATACTCACACACAAGAAGAACAAATCATTCCACTATCTAGTATCAAGAGGGACTGACACTAAGGTGAAGTTCTCTGGGGGTGCCTAGTGTGTGTGAATATTCCATACAGGGTAACATGGTTAAAACTGATGGTATTATGAATGACTTTGTTAGTGGGGATGGCAACACTGGCCTACCCTCATTCCCCGGCCCGCTTTCCACCACGAGGGGCATAAAGTTCTTCATGAAACCGCTCGCTTGAAGCAAATTTCCGATGTCTGCAAGGGAACGGACAGCGCCACTGTAATGTTCGCCACAGTTTGCGGGAGTACGCAGTCTCAACCGCCTAGGTCACTCCTCCTTCAGATTCCTCCAACATCCAAATAAAGCCTATATCATCTTCAGTTTTAACTGTACTGCTTGCTATATGAATAATAAAGGACATTCCAACCATGTATTGGAATAGTCAATTATTCTATCTTGCCATATTCTTTTTGAGTAAATTTGAGATATGTGCTGATAAGGATGTGGGGTGGCTGAAGGCCAGGAGTGACACAGTCACACGTGCCGCGGGCAAGTATGTTTTAGAGTGGGTCAAAAGAATCATGAGTACGTCAGAGCTAGCCATCATGGTAAAGGCACAATATTTGAAAGAGAGCAAACAGCGGGCACCATGATGGTGTGACGACAAATTCTGATAGTACTACACTGAGAAACCAGACAAAGGAAGACTGGGATGGCACAAGGACAGATAGGGAACCAACATAGAATAAGAGACTGGCACAAGGACAAAGTAGGACCAGACACACTGGGATAGCTTGGACAGGAAATGGTAAATCATGTATGGGATAACATGGAAGGGAACAGGATATGGCATAAAGGACAATCAAAAAACAATAACAGTGATGTTGTACTATGTCCAGAAAAAGGTGCAAAGAGAGTACAATATATCATGTAACATTATTTGGTTAAAATTCCATTCTAATAGGGAACAGGTACAAAAATGGTAGGAAATATGTCTCTTATAGACAATGTGGTATCACCTCTTAAAAAAATGGTATAGGATACCAAGTATGACAACTGGCAGTGAAGGTTAACCAGAAAAAAGGTGAGATGAGGGTCACTAAAGAAAAATTGATATAAGGCCAATGACATCTAAACAGAATAACAAGAAAAAAATTGAAAAGAGAATATTGACATGATAAAATACAGAGGTTTGACCTCCAAAAATACCTATCTGCAGCTACCTGGGAGTTTAAGAAAACTGTCACTGTAAATAATATCTAGGAAAATGTAGAAAAAATGTGTAAAAAGAAAATAATGTATTATAATAAATGAAAAAATTATTTCCAGTAATATCATGCAATGCAGCAGAATGAATATAAGAGTTTACCTACTGTCTAGGAAATACTGATACTAGCAATTTTACCTTCTATGAAATAACTGGCTACAGTAAAGACAAAGACACCATTATCATTTTTATTTTATATGACAAATTGAATAATATCCTATGCTGATTACCCTATCCATGTCTAGCATACACTAACTATAAAATATAACACTATAAATATATGTATATACATATATATACATATACATCTTACCTAGCAATTTTTTTCCTTTCTTTTCTTTTATCTAAAATGTCAACTGCTTATGGCAAGAGGCACTGTGTCTTCTACTTTCCATATAATGTAAAACTAAACAGTCTCATTCTGATGTTATAGAAAGAGTATGCCATAAAAAACTGTACAGACCTATTGTCAGTTTCTGCTGTGGTGATTCTGTACCTAAGTCACCTTGACTGTAGCTAGAATACTTTATGTGCTAATGTATAATGAAACAGTGATTAGTTTATTCAGGTAAACCTTCTATTGAATATAAACTAGTTTCTCTTTTACCTTATAGAACTTCTAACTGAATATCCAAAACAGCTAAATCAAACGAATGCTTATAAATATGTCATTTTGTAACTCATTGAGAATTACTGAGAATATACTAACCTAAACTATGTATATAAACTGTTATAGACCATGGTGACCAATATTCATATAAACATCTAACTTTCACTCACCAATAATGTTCATGTTTCACAGTTTGACTTTACAGTGATAACATAAAACCTTCAGTGATATTGGCTAATTCTAACTTCTAATATGAGACAGCATATGCTACCTGCATTATTATATCCTGTCATCACTTTCTTAAGCAGTAGCCTCTTAATTTTTTCAGTGTGAAAGTGGACCTTGCAACAAATAAAATAACTAAGTACTGTAGTGTTAGATCAGTGTTGTACATCATGTTCCTATGAGATTAGTGAACTCACAGCTTAACTTGCATGAATGCTTCATGCTATGTGAAGAAACTTATAAAAGATGCACCAAGTAAGGATTTAGGCAATGGGAACAGGATAAAAGGAGACATATACCCATTTACACATATTGGGGGGATGTGACACAAGTATGTAAATGGCTTAGGTGCCAGCTGGAGCATTAACTACAAGGATATCCAATCAAATATGAATCAAGGAAAACATTGAATAATTTGGGTGACACTGAGTACTTAGGATATCATGATGGGTTTAGCTTTATAAGTGCATGTAGTAAGTACGTGTCACAAATATTCATGCAATACAGAATGAGTAACTTTTACAATCAGTCAGGGAAAAAATTAAGTGATATGTTTTAGACCTTTGAGGACACATATTCATTGGTAAGTTACAAGATGGATAGGGTAGTGAACTTGCCAGGCAAAAACCCAATAAAGAAAATCACCTAGTTGTATTTAAACACACTCAAACAACAGTTAATATACACAAGCTTAGTAAGGTTATGAGAAAAAATGATGAAGAAAAAAAAGAAAAGAAAAGGACACTAAATATATAATATACACAAAGGTTTACACATATCTTACATATTTTCATTGTTAGTATGGTCTACAATACTAAATGCAGTTCATAAAGGAATGGATTGTCAGTTTTTCAATGAACCATTCGGCTCAAAGTACAAGCATGGAAGAACATGGAAAGCTAAAGAATTCCCACATAAAAGCACGAATGTTGATGCACCAGTCAGAATCATGCTATACAAATAAAGACATGCAAAAAAAGGAAGGTAAAGAAAACAACACTGACAATAAAATACAAGGCACTTAAAAGCAAATTTTTATTTGAATGTGAACTGATAAAGAAAGAAAAAGAGGAAGAAAAAGAAAAAAAAACTTTAGAATTATTAATCACCTTATATTTTTTCAAAATCTCTGAATGCCCTACAATTTAATGTCAAAATACATGACTGTATTTTTTGCTGTATTCTATATTATAAAAAAGAAAGAAAGAAAAAACTGTTTTACTGAGAATTTCTCAATGAAAATGTGGGTGCTCATACATACACATACTGACATGTGTGCATAAACATTCACACAAACACACACATTCAAAAATATAAGCACATATGCAAATATACATGATATTTGTATTTATAATATATAAACATAAACACACAAACACACACACACATATATATGTATGTGTGTGTATTTATATATATTCATATATTTATATACATATGTGTGTGTATGTATGTATATATGTATGTATATATGTATGTATATATGTATGTATGTATGTATGTATGATGTGTGTGTGAGTGTGTGTGTGTGTGAGAGTGAGTGAGTGTGTGTGTGTGTGTGTGTGTGTGTGTGTGTGTGTGTGTGTGTGTGTGTGTGTGTGTGTGTGTGTGTGTGTGTGTGTGTGTGAGTGTTTGTGTGTTTATGTTTATATATTATAAATACAAATATCATGTATATTTGCATCTATCTATCTAAATATGTATCTATCTACATATATATATATATATATATATATATATATATATATATATATATATATATACATACACATACACACACACACACACACACACACACACACACACATACATATATATATATATATATATATATATATATATATATATATATATATATATATATATATATATATAAATATATAAATATATAAATATATAAATATAATATATATATATATATATATATATATATATATATATATATATATATATATATATATATATATATATATGTGTATATATGTATATATGTATATATGTATATATGTATATATATGTATATATATGTATATATGTATATATGTGTATATGTGTATATGTGTATATGTGTATGTATATGTGTATGCATATGTGTATATATATGTGTATATATATGTGTATATATATGTGTATATATATGTGTATATATATGTGTATATATGTATATATGTATATATGTATATATGTATATATGTATATATGTATATATGTATATGTATATATATATATATATATATATATATATATATATATATATATATATATATATATATATATATATATATATATATATATGCAACACACGCACACACACACACACAAATCTTCCTATCTAATAAATGGCGCACCTAACAGGGCAACTGGGAATCAGGATTGTCTTAATACTCTTATGTGGCTTTGAATATGTTATATAGGGCATGTTAACCCGTTGCCACCAGGTGGCATGTATGTACATGGCATGGCATGCCTGGAATATATTCCAGGTAGCATATGCATAAATGACATTGTACGCCAGTCCCGTTTTCAGGGGCCATGTATGGTCATGCTATATATATATATATATATATATATATATATATATATATATATATATATATATATATATATATATATATATATATATATATATATATATATATACATATACAGGGCCGGGGCCACTATAAATACAACCCGGGAAGGGGCATTCGAATTAGGAAACCACCCGGCAGCATTGGGTTAAACAGAGCAGAAGTATTGTGTGTCCCGCATCTTCAGGTGGAGATGTTAGCTAAGTTAGTTGAAACCTCTCATTTCCTCCTACTTTTGTACATAGAGCCCTCAGGAACTGGGAAGCATGAAAAAACAACTGAAATCACAGAACTAGCACTACCCAACCTCACAAATGGCTACTTGAGTGTATCAGGTGCTTTTGGATCTCCGGGTGAAATGAGCTAATCTATCTATACAGCCATATTACATATGTATCTTCTATCTATCTATATCTGTACATACGTATACACACACATACAAACACATACATACATACACACACACACACACACAAAATATTTATATACACATATACAAATATGCATTCACAAATACAGAAAATACATTTGGCACTCATGTTTTGGCTAATTTTCTAATTTTCTAATTGTATGTCTAGAATA